AAGCTAAATAAAAACTCACGCATGGAAGAGTGAACTGGGTCGGCTGGCTGGGACTCGGCTCACGGGCGGACCGGGTTTGATCGCTTGGGTCGGGTTCTACACTTAGAATAAGTTCTCGGGCTCGGATTAATCACGCGACAATTAAAATAATAACCGACTAATATATATATATATATATACAATACACATATTAATATTATTTAATAATACACATTTTATTATTCTATTAATAATACACAATTAAGCACATTTAATTATATATAATATTTAGGCAATTTGACAATTAAACACATAATTATAATAATAATAATAATAATAATAATAATAATAATAATAATAATAATAATAATAATAATAAAAAGGGGCAAATAATAATAATAATAATGGGCAATTAATAATAATAATAATAATAAATCAAACTAAAACCCAAATAATTCTTATTCAAACGGGGCGTTACATATTAATCCCGAACTCATTTATTAAATAAACAAATCGGAATTAAATTCGGAAACTTATTCGGTTAGTGAAATAAATAAACCGAATATTCTATCGACTAATAATCAAACCTAAAACTGAAAACTTAATAACTGGCTCGAAACTCCTCTTTGATGATTTCTCGAATATTCTTGAATTTGATTAATACGTCAACATTGGAATAATTAATCCCGAACTTACTATTGTCCATTTATTAAATAAACGAACCGAGATTAAATACTAGAATTTAACTAGGTTAATAGATAAAATTAACCGAAGATATTTTCGACTTAACGTCGAACTTGAAACTTAACTAGCTGAATAACTTAGGCTCGGAACTAATATCGAGCATTTATTAATAAAAGCTAGCTTATTAATATCTTTTCTTTATTAATAAAAGACTGGGACGTTACAGTGTCACTTAACAACACGAGTCGTGTCAAAATGCCAGGACTTAATTGTTGATAACTGTTACCTCACACGACTCGTGTCACTTAACAACACGAGTTGTGTGTGTCCACTGGACTTATGTCGTCTTGTGACACACGTCGTGTGGTGCGACACGACTCGTGTCAATGGACGACACGAGTCGTATCAAGATGCAGAGACGTGATTGTTGATAGCTCTTGGCTCACATTACTCCTGTTGCATACTCACAGGGATTCAAATAAAAACCCAATTTAATACAATCTCAAAAAAATGTTCCCGATTTTTTTTCAATTAGTAGGTGAATTGCGAAGAGTATTCCACAAATAGAGTCTGGTCTGATACACAACCTCCCATCCGTGAACCGAGTTTTCTCGATATCTAAACCACAAACTAGAAATAGGCGGTAATGGAAAATCATGAAACATATCCAGACGAATGAAGTGTTTGGAAGAACCAAGATGACCAACGACAATCTCACGCTCTGGTTGTGTAGCAGTTGATGGTGCATTGAGTGGCAATACGGTGGTACTATAACTGTCGACGATCGACATCTATATAAACTATATAATTACTTTTCCTAGCCAAATGCAGAAGTTGAGTTGTCACGTCTCTACCCTAGAAACTATCTCTCTGCATCTTCTCTCTAAAGTTATACACATGTCGGCTAGTGGCGTTGTCTTGCGGATTTTTTTCTGGATCGCAACTAAAATTGTTTCCGGTTTTGCCTGAACAACAATCATATCATGAACAATCTTCTTAGATGAAGTGCTAAGTCCGCTCACCTGTCGATGACCCTCAGACTACACAACAAATGCATGATTATGTTTTCGCTTCTCAGGATAGGAATATACACAGATGCTCCAATATACTTTTGTTCTTGCGTCTTGTTTGACTTTATCTCAAAACGACAATTGCACGCTTTAGTTTTTGTACGTCTGGAGGTAGCCTGATCTAAATCTCGTATTTTGTCTCGGTAACGTTCCACTCGTTTACACTTCCAAACCTTTACCCTTCCTCCTTTTGTATGTTCTGAAATAATCAATTCAAAACCATATATAAGTGCAATATCTTTTGCCCACTCAATAGCTTCGGAATCACTAAGAAATTGTCTATCCGTAACTAAAGCACCACTATAATCAATACCGTCTCCTCCAAAATCTTTCAATGACACCTGCAATATAGTACGGTGTTCATAATTTTATAAGATAATAAATTATAATCTATAACATAATAATTTATAACTTCTAACATAATATTAATATATTCTAATTATAAGATAATCAATTCTAACCTATAACATAATGATTTCTAACTTCTAACATTACAATATATGATTTCTAATTTATAAGATAATAAATTCTAATATATAATATAATAATTTATAAGTTAGCTCTAACATATCAATTTCTAACTTCTAACATTATATTAATAAATTATAATTATAAGATAATTAATTCTAACCTATAAAATAATATTTTCTAACTTCTAACATGATAATAACTAATTTATAACATAATTAATTATAATATAACATATAAAACTTAAATAATCTAATTTCTAATTTTTTTCACAAAAAAGTAATACAAAACTAATAAAAACAATCAAAACAATTAAAAAAATGTCTGTTTGGTCGGTGATTGCGGACAGCACTGGAGCCGTCCGGCCGGCCTTTTAGGACGCGCATGGTCGTGTTCCGCCTTCAAAGGCGGGCGTGCATTGGCATACGGTTAAAGATTGGCCGGAAAGCACCATGCATGTCCGCAATCACCGGTCGGACAACACTATGTCCGTCGCGATTTTCGGCTGGACGGCTCGAAAACGTACCTTGTTTGAAGATATTTTTTCATCGAAAATCGCTTGGTTCAAAGGATTTTATAATTTTATGAAATTTTTTGAAAAAAATGAAAAGAGCAAAATGATCCAGAAAGAAATGTGTATAGTAATAAAGGAGCGAGGATTAGCAATTTATATAAATGATGTTATATCCAGTCAAGAAAAGTGTGATATCTCGAAGTTTGTGTCTGGTCAAAAAGGCAGCCAAGGCCAGATTTGACTTTTCCACCAACTCGTCAATAATTGGGGTCCACTCATAATGCTTCTTACAACTTATCCCAGAATATAAAAGCCTTAAAAACATGCAACATAGACACACAGACACGCTAGTCTTTTTTTCTTCTGCTCCGTTCAATTGCCCTGTCTCCATCTCCCGCTTGGATCGGATCTCTCTCAAATCTCCATAGCCATCGATAGCACACAAGCAAACCGAAAAGAAAATAAAACAATACAAAAGAGGGACGGGGAACAAAAACCCAGCAACACAAATGTGGAAATTCATATGTAATCCCTGAGGAAATTCATTTCAAGGCCTGAATTTTCTTTCTCGTTCTTTTTTTTTTCCATGTGGAAAATTTGGATTCTTGATAAAGGGTTGCCGTAGATAAAATTGGAAAAACAAATTACGTAGGGAATAACAAATGGGAAATGTGACGTCTAGCGTGGCCGCAAAGTTCGCATTTTTCCCGCCGGACCCGCCGACGTACGAGGTGTACGAGGAAGATGGGCGTCTCGTTATGAGTGGGTTGACGGCGGACAAGAACGTGGACGTTCATTTGGTGGAGACGAAAGGTGGACATAAAGTGGCGGCCACGTTCTGGAAACACCCGTCGGCGAGGTTCACCTTGCTCTACTCGCACGGCAACGCCGCCGATTTGGGGCAGATGCAGGAGCTCTTTATTGAGCTCCGGGCACATCTGCGTGTCAACATTATGAGGTATTTGTCTCTGATTTTGATCTTTTTTTTTTTTATTATTGTTTATTCATTTGTCTGTGTTAGCAAATTTTTGTTTGTGAATTGGTGGGGGTAATTGCTCTAATTTGTCTTCTATTTAAGTGGGCTTTGTATGGAATACTGCGATTGTTATGAAATTCTTGTGCAGCTAAAGCCCCATTTATTATGTAGGGAACACTGTTTCTTGTAATAGGTAGAGTTTTTTTTTATTTATTTCGTATTGAGCTAAAGATGTAGAATGGGGGAAGAAATGTTTGTTTGACGTGTTCGTTTCCTTAATTTAGCTCGTGTTGTTTCTGTTGTTCCATCTGATTGACAGGTAATTGTTAGTTGGATACACATTTGAGTTTGTGTAGGCACTGATGATTAGAATTTTGAAGTCGGATATGTGGGACTCTGCAAACTTGCTTGAGATTGATGTTGAAAGTTGCAAATTCATGGGGTTCGATTTGTCCATCTTCGAACTAATTTGGTGATTTTTTTTTACGGTTTGATTTGTTTTCGTTAGATAAAATTGAAGTATGGGTAGCCGGACGTTGGGGCTGTAGTTATTCAGTTTGTTGACTGTTAAAAATATACGAGCAGTCAAGAATTCAGTCATGAGAAGTTTGTGGTGTTTATAAACTCAGTTTTACGCGTAATGCATCTGTAAACTGCATGCATTTTTCTATATGACCAATATTAGTGTATGATTTTCTTTCTCTGGATTCCTATTGACATCATGCTTCTTTCTACTCGTTTACAGCTATGACTATTCTGGATATGGAGCATCAACGGGTAAGGTAAGATAATATCAGTTGAGGATCACATGATATTCTTTTCAGCCTAGTATTTAAGGAATACCGAGTATATTACGTTTCTTCTCGACTTCACTTGTGCAAATGAAACGAATATTTAAAATGTGGTTACAGCCATCTGAATTGAACACGTACCACGACATTGAGGCGGTATATAACTGTGTGAAGAGCAAATACGGGATCAGGCAAGAGGATGTGATTCTGTACGGACAATCTGTTGGAAGTGGGCCCACATTACATCTGGCTTCTCGTTTCCCAAGGCTAAGAGCTGTAGTTCTTCATAGCGCGATACTTTCAGGCATCAGAGTATTGTATAATGTTAGAATGACATTCTGGTTTGACATCTTCAAGGTTAGATTTTTTCGACAAGTTCAAACTGTTTTTCTTCTTTGCGTGCAATTAGCTTTTTTAAATATGGAAAATGGTATCTGACTGTGAATTGTCTGCCATTTCTTTTCAGAACATTGACAAAATAAGGAATGTTTGCTGCCCAGTTTTAGTCATACATGTAAGAAATCTATCACTCAACTACTTTCCTGCTTATAGCCCTTAAAAAAAAAAAAAAAA